AAGCATAACTCCACAGGTTTGCTTTTCCTTTCTCCTGGACCCATTCCTCCTTGATCACGTAGCTTCTGCATGTGAAATTAGCATACAGAATAACACAAAACTATTTCTACCTATGGACAGACCATTAATATGCTGCAATGTGAGTGACAGAAGTGAGTATCCAAGATACAATGCTCTAGGGCATACAAGAAGATATGTAAAAGTAAACAGTTCCAGAAAAGCTACTAGGCAGCACTTACAGTTACCTCCTAGTATCTTCCTTGCAAATAGGAGAAAGCTGACTCAGTATCGCACACTGCTTGTCCAGATCTGACCCACAGAAGGGAAGGCTGGAGTATGTCCTTGGTACTATCCACGCCTTGAGGAGAGGATGGGACCTCCCTTCACTATCATGAGTACAGAGAGTCTTGGAGGCAAAAAAAAATTCACTGTCCCTCAGCTTGTTCCTGGACTGAAGAAGAAAAAAAAAAACAAAGTCTAAGAACTGCAGGTCACAACCAAAAAAAATTGTTTCATAAGTGAAAATATCTAACAGACATCCCAGTAGCATGAATGTCACCCATATGCTCCAGCAACTCCAGAGACTGCAGCTGTTTCTCCAGCACAAAGAAAAAAAGAAATTTGGAGAATCTGCTACCAAGTCTTCAGCAAGTGCAATGTACTGCTCACCTACTGGGACTTCTCTTGAAATGAATCCTGACACAGCAGTAAGTGGAAAGGAAAAGCAATAGGGGGAAGAATAACTATATGCGAGCAAATCCTAGTCCGCCCAAGATATTCATCACTCTACGTATATGAGGAAGGTACATAAATCACATACTGAAAAGTCAACGAAGAGCTATGCAGGCAAGTACCAGGTTGGGAAAGAGATGACTTCACTGACCCATGTAAATAGATGGCCTAGTTCCCACTGCTGACACAAATTGCGATAATTATGTTGAGTATGGAATTTTCCTCTTCTGTATCTCTGCAGATGTGCTTAACTGGTTGGTCAGACCTACCAGGAACTTATGTTGTATACTGAGTATAGGCAGACAGCCAAAAGCCTTAATTAACTTCTGAGCGAACCCTGATTAAGTTAAATATGGGTGCTCTCTAGTATTGGTACCAATGGGAATAATTATAGAAAATGAGAAGAGAGAAAAATTCCCCTCCAAAGAGACAGAAAATTCCTCCAAGAAGACGACTCAAAACACTCCTAGCTATAGTGCCAGATAGCCCTATCAAACCGGGTTTTTACCAAGGAATTGGACTAGAGGCTGGTTAATCTTTTACTAAGTCTTTTAAACTCTATATCCTCTGCATTCTCAGAGCTGTGTCAGCGGTAACGTTCAAATTTGATTTCTCCCACTTCTCAGTTTAGTAGAGATCACAGACTGAAGAAGTCAGCAGCGGGGGAGTTTGAGTGTCGAAACCAGTGTGACAAAGATGTTGCCGATAAACCATAGAAGCACAGAAGTGGCCTGATAACTGCAGCGAGCACAGCGGGGCCACAGAGATCTCTATGTAGATTGAGCAGCTAGCTGCAAGCAGACAACAGTCTGTTGCTTTGTTTCTACATGTCAGAGACCAAAACCTAGGGACAAAGAGAAGATATGTAGTTGCGGGTAGGGAAAAATGAAGCACAGAAAATAATGACTGAAGTAGTGATTGGATCACAACAGTTGTTGAGGGTCTACACGCTGTCCATGTAGTGTTACTAGAGCATTGTCAACTGTTCACAGAGCATTAACAGGGAACCGGTGCGAATGGATAATGGGTTTGAAGAAAGTCTTGCAGCAAAAGGCTCCAGGAAATTAATCTATTCAGTTTACCAAAAGAAAAGGGAAGGATCTGCTGAGGAACTCATCAGAGAATGCTCTCCAATCACACAAAGCTACTACACAAAGCAAAATGCAATAGTTGAATGCATGCAGGATAAAAATGTGACACACATTTTTAACAGCAAGAGTGACTCACCAGTGAGGCAAATGACTTGAGTCTTGAATTGAGTGTTTGTTTCCTCCAACTCAGTAATTCATGACTGGGTGTCTTTACAGAGTATGTTTTCCAAGATCTATCATACCTATTGAACTTGAAGAGGAAAATCCAAAGATGCTTGTTAAGCTGCAAACAGCCCAAGTGATCATAACCATCTTTTCTGGCTATAAAAAAGGCATGAAATAGTTACTTCCAGATTTAGCAGCCAAGTCTGATGGTGCAATATTTTTTCCTGTTTACAGCATAAATTAAACTAACCATTTTGTGCTACCATCTCAGTATATGCAATTATTTCCTAAAATATCATTTGGCTACTGCTGTGGCAGGAAAGCTCTATTAAAAATTGCTACATAGAAACAAGTCTTCTGGATTCTGTTGCATTATCTGTCCCGGATGCAAGAGAGCAAAGTCTGGTTGGCCAGTACTAAACACATGAAGTCTGTTCTCTATAAACTAAGCATTTTGTGCTACCATCTCAGTATATGCAATTATTTCCTAAAATATCATTTGGCTACTGCTGTGGCAGGAAAGCTCTATTAAAACTTGCTACATAGAAACAACTCTTCTGGATTCTGTTGCATTATCTGTCCCGGATGCAAGAGAGCAAAGTCTGGTTGGCCAGTACTAAACACATGAAGTCTGTTCTCTAGAAGACTAAAATTAACATGCTGCAGATAGTCCAGCGCGTGTTGAAAAGACAGGCTAAACTCACTGGGACTGGCCAGCAATAGCAGGCATCTAGCCAAGACAAAACCAAGACAAAGCCCACCAGACATGGGACAATGGACACCAGAAAACAAAGTCATCACAAAGACCTGCACAGATTTCTTTGGACAGAGCTGATTTGTTCACATCCACCCAAAAGGCATCCTTACAGCATCTGTACACAGTACTGTGACCCCAGGGGAAAAATGTTACAAGCCACAGCTTGGACTGATACCCTGCAGGAGGTAGGGCAACCCCCAGTCCACACATAGGAAGGATACCACCTGGGGAATGCTTTACTATTTGCACATGTTTTCTTGTTTTTCTGGTGCCAGAATTACTTCCCACCTTACAACTTTCCACAGTCTCTGCAGCAGCTGAACAGAAGGTTAATATCAACTTTTAAAGTTCCAAACCTCCCATCAGCTTTACGTGTACGCCAGAAACACAGGCCAGAGCAAAAAGAAGAGATACGAAAGGGAAGACGCTGGCTACTATGCAGATCGTTATCATACGAAAGCTGAAACTAGAGGGCATATGCAGGGGAAAAACATGCGTTAAGGCTGGTAAGTTGACAACATTGCATCAGTTTGTTGTGTAATTCAGTTGCCTTTTTTGTGTGTGTGGCTTTCATGTTACCGTGTCTGATCGCTTCATCCAATTCCAGCATTGCTAAACAGTCGCATGTCTTGATTCCTACAGTCATCACTTTTCATGGACTGTGGTAAAAGGAAGACGCATGAGTCTGAAAAGTACTTCCTCAAGGAAGTGGTCTTACCTTCCACATTTTTGCTGAAACTCTTAAGCTGCGTAGAAAAAATGGAATTAACTTACTATAAAATGTCTACATCTGTTCAGCTTCTGTGTTTTATATAAAAAAGACAGAATGAATATTTTATTATCACCCTTTTCTGTTACTCACATGAACGGCAGAAATAACTGTATTTCTCAAAGTGCAGGAGCTTGGTTTCTCTACACAGCATACTGCACATTTCTACAAGGTTTTCTAGACATACAGCTTAGATAATGAATTAAGAAAGATACTCTAGATTTTATTGTCTAATTTTACTTTATTAGCACAAGAAGCTTTATTATTTATTGAGAAAAGACACTAAAGGCTGAAGTAGCTGGTAGAAGGAATAAATTTCGGAAAAAAATAAATGAAAAGTGTTCCTAACAAAAACACTACTCTTCAAATTTTCCAAAGTCTCACTTTCACTTTCTATACTCTTCCCAAACTTTAACAATAGCCCTAGTTTCTGAAATTAAACACAGGCAGTTTCTAACAAAGGTGAGACAGACTGTGATTATTTGGCCAAATCCAAATATTCCCCTTAGAAGCTGTCAGTTAACCCTTCTCCACGTTTTATCACTATGCAAACTAATCCCTTCTTTCCCGACAAGAGAGAATAAACTATCCACAGAAATATCAGCCTCAGCAATGAAATGGGAATCCTGCATAAAAACTGCTGCAGCTGCTTTTGTTACTGTGGTGCTAAGCAAACCATTTGCACATGCATATGGATGACAGCAAACTCTGCTAACAGAGACTGAAGCAAACCTTATATGTTTTGTAGGAAAAAAAGTAAATTTATGGAGGTACAAAATTTTGATTTTTATGAATCAGGTTATTTCACTTCATATGTAATCAGCAACAAAGTGGTTTAAAAAAAACCCCTCAGCTATGTTATGTAAGCACCATGCTTCCATCGCTATTCCAACATTCCACATTGCAGTGAAAACATTTAATATTTGTTTTAATTGGATTAAAAACAATATATAAACTTTAAAGACTGGTTTCATATGCCACCAGTGTCAGCAAGTGTCCTTAAAATAGGAAGGAACTAAAAAAGGTGACTTGTTTATTGCCTCAATACTATTTATTTTCACTGACAAAGATGGGTATAATATGAATATAAAAATATCCATCTCCATTCAGTTCCATGTTACTCTTATTGCCCAACTATCACACATAATATGGCAGTGCTCAGTTTGACTCATATTTTCTGGGATTTTATTGTTTTGACCAGGAGATAGAAATCTGACAGAAACATGCATAGCGATTCTAAGATTTATACAAGTTTTTTTTTTTTTCCAAGATTTCTAGAATAAATTTGATCTGGAAGGTTTCCAGATAGACCTTAACTATAATACTAGTCATAATTAGTCATTGTTTTAGCTTGTGCAAGTTCAAGTCAAACTAAGCTTTGATGAAAAGGGCAGGTTTCTTACTTCATCCATGCTGGAAAGGTCACTGATAACAAGTATACCTAACAGGAAAGCATTCATTAGCATTAGACTCTGGATGTTCATGGAAATCTGCTCAAACAGCCACACTGTTGGGAATCCGATCTGGGGAAAGGTAGTAGTAAGGAAGTTTTTTGTTCTTGTTTCGCTCAGTGATGGCGCTGACGATCTCATCAAGGGTCTTGCGGAATTTAGCCATAGCTTCCTTCACTGGCTTTTCAATGAAGTGCTCATCTGGGTACATGCCTAGAAATAGCTAGAAAAAGAAACCAGGAAATCAAGCTCTGAGAAAGAAAAGGCTCTTCTCTCTCAACGTTATCTCGTGCAGTAGAACAACACCCAGAGCTTCAGGAACACTAATATTAAGTACAATCAATGTTTAAGCTAGCATAGGTTGGCACTGCCAATGAAAGACATTCATCTTCCCTCCACCATCAGTTGCTTGTTCTCACCCCTGTATCTTTCTTTCCTTCCCTAGTGCTGGTTCAGTACTGCATTTATGAAAATAAACACTTTTTATCAGGCTAGTTGTCAACAAGATCAGTTCCCCAAGTCAGCTCACTGTTCTCCCAAACACTTGCAATGACACAAGGAACTGGCAGCATGGGAGGGGGACAAACACTCGGCAATGAAAAAGGAGATGGCTTCTTTTAGTGATGGTGGAAGTTCATGTCAAACTAGGACCAGTTCAAACAGACAGTTTCTTGAGCCTGCTTAGACCGCAAAGATGCGATGAATAATCCATTGCCAATATTAATCTCTCTGCTTTAAGCAACTCCGTCCCATGAGGCTCCTCATACTATTAGCTTCTTCTTAAAGGGAAATTCAGTTGAAGTATCCTCTGTCCAGAATCTCTCATTCAAAGATTATTCTAGGCACAGCCTATGGGAGAGACAGCAAAGTCTTCACATGGGAGAAACGGCTACAGAGGATACTTGCTAAGTGTCTAGGTAGTACCCATAGTGGACTGATTTACCAAAGGGACAGGATGTAAGGGATAAATAGTGTTGTGGCTTCTCCACCGCACTGCTTGGGGAAAGCAGAGGGAAGAACATTTCTGCCTACACAGCTCTCCTCCTCTCACATTAGCATCCCAGCTTGGTAGACCCATCCTTGAGTTCAGAAACCTTTATCCTCATTGAAACTTGTCTGCAGAGTAAAAATATGACTTCTGACTCACAGTTGACTTGCACTCAGAAGAACAAGGGAAAGTCCACACTACTGATACCACTACACAGGGAAGTGAACATGCTCATATCAAACACAGAGCCAGGAGCAACACTTCAACATTATGAATCCATGTGGTCTTGCCACAGCTCTCATGGCTTCACCAACATCCCTACAGCCTGAAGAAAGGAGGTTGACTTACTTCGTTGTCTTGGAATTGGCTCAAGGCCCAGACAGCTCCAAGGTGCCAACAAGAACGTCCCCTGTCTGGTAAACTCTCCACAATCTGCTCAATGGTGACTGTTCCCTTTTCCGTCGGAGGTGGGCAGCGCATTGTTGGTGGGGCATTGGGAATCCAGGAACACCAGTCATACTGCACAACAAGGTAAGAAAGCTCAGTGAAAAAGCACAGCGCTGGTTACTCGGGAATGTCATAGAGAAACTCAGACCTCTTCGACCACAGGGCTCCATACACATCCTCAGCCCGGCCTGATGGAAAGTCTCCAGTGCATGTAGGCCATGCTTATGCTCTCTGTCTCCCTGCTCGCAGTGCACAGCCATCTCCTACCATCAGGACCATGTCTCCCTGCCGTGTCTTCCTATTACTGAAGACCCCTTTTTGATGGGCTAATTATCCTGGGCATGCCAAATCGCCCTCTCATTCTCTGCATGTTCTCTGGTGACCCTTAGTAGCATGAGTGATACTAACACATGATTTTTCACTGAGGGAGGTCAGGTACTGTACTCATTTTTTTGAATGCTAGCTGAACAGACAGGATTAGCTGAGGTATGAGTTGCAACAACGAGCTAGATACGAACACTCTGAGAGATCCTTGATCACAAATATGACAAAGGAATAGCCTGGCTTCTCTCTGACAGGGTCAGGGCGTTACAGAGATTCAACTTCTATTTCAAGGGAAAGACTGAGCACCCAGTGCTCGGGCCTCTCAGCACTCCTTGAGGTGATCCCACCTGCTCACCGAGCCTTGGGCTGGCATCTCTGTGGTCTCCCGCGGCAGAGTCAGCAGGGCTGCCAGGGACACAGAGGGCTTTCTCTGAATGTATTACCTGGCACTGCGCCTAGGAAACAGACTGACTCATGCTCTGAGCTGTAGGGGAGGGCAGGAGGGTCAGCACCCTCCTGCCACCCTCATGTGGCATGCATTTGGGAAAAACTGCCATAGGAAAAATATCTTCCTACTTATCTGTGAGTTTTTCTGTCCCTGAAGCAAAAAGATGTGCCAAAAAAAAGCTCTGTGCAAACTGAGGAACCGTTTTGCTTCTGGCTGTGGAGTTTATTTTCTTAAGTGCTTTGATGTTGAAAGAAACGGCCTTTGAAAGGCAACCTGCTGCTATAGTTTCATGGCATATATATGTCAGTAAAGGCACTCAATGACACCACCTATCAGCATGTGACGTATTAAACCTCAGAGAGGTAAGCTCAAAAGTGCCAGCTGGCTCACAAACTCCAGAAATACGTAGCAATGCCCTATCTGTCCATCAGGAATATTAATCACATTGGTGCTTTTGAAAATGTGACCAAAGTCCAGATCCTCAGAATATTCTGCTTCCAATTTTTACACATTTCAGTGGGATTTAAATACTTGGATAATACTGAGGATCTGGACCCATGTCCCAGTGACTTCAATGAGATTTCCCCTTGTCTGTGACCAGCCACAGACAGGTAGAAGTGAAGTTTTTGAGGGCAGGTGCAAAGTAGCTTTTAATTACTTAACTCAGAGTTCCCTGGTAACCACCCCAATAAGCTCTATATTGCTGGAGCTGGACTGTTCTTCCCTGGTAACCACCCCTTATTGGGTGGTTATTGGCTCCAGCTCTATATTGCTGGAGCTGGACTGTTGGAAATCCTTAACTGGACTAAATTAAAGACAGACAGTACGTGTAGCTACATGCAGTCACAGCACTGGGCTGCACACTGCAACATAACTGAAGTTGCATCCAAAGATGGGATGTATGCTGCCTGGGCACAGGCACATTGCCAAATTAAGTTGGCCTACAAGAGCAACCCACACTAATCGTCCATTCATGCACATGTAGCAAATGTTAAGTAAGGCTACTTGGCATAATTCACTGGGTTTCATTGCAGAATGAGACAGAGACTACCAGCACTTGCCAGGCAATTGAGACAATATCTAGAAAAACAAAGTGCTGTTGTAGCTTGGTTGTGCACCTGAACCCTTCAGCACTTCTGAAATGAGCCTTAGTGACCCATTTATATGCTTTTAAAAATGCTTCCCATAGTAAAATCATGACAATTCAATTGTACAAGCTAGAATCCTAAAATTCTAGCTTTGTTGCTATCTAGGAGACAAAATGCCTCCCCCTGCTTCCAAAGCAACCCAGCTTCCACAGACTTTACTGGGATTTGCAGATGGTTCTCAAACCAGTCCAAAAAAAAAAAAGAATAATGTAATGTAATGTCTGTTCATATACTGAAAAGCACTTCTCAGACATGGCCTTAGCAAATGCATGTCCCATCCCAGAAGGAACAGTCTTCCCAGAAACGCATACCTGACCAAAATTCACAGCTGCATGCTGGGCCGATGTGGTGAATATTACCACTGTCAGATATTCTGCCAGCTTCTCTCGGGTCTTGATCATTTTAGGAAACCCTACATGAGGAAGAAGAAAGCCTGCTGTTAGCCAGCTACAAGCTCTAGGGTCATCAGGCTGGTCCAAAATAGTCTTTTGACCAAAAAGGCATGAGTCAGAGGACAAAGGCAATCATCACAAACAGGACATTCTCTGTCCCTCTCTGCACAGGTTTTCTCATGTGGCTC